ATTCTAACTCAAAAAAATAAAATAAGCCAGACTCGGTGGCTCAGCCTGTAATCCCGCGCCTTTGGGAGGCTGAGGTGAGTGGATTGCCCGAGCCCACAGGTTCAAGATCCGCCTGGGTAACTTGGCGAGACCTCATCTCTACAATAAATCAAAAATTAGCCGGGCGTGGTAGCATGCCTGTGGTTCCAGCTACTTGGAAGGCTCAGGTGGAAGGATGGCCGGAGCCCAGCAGGTCGAAGCTCTGCGGTGGCCGGAAGCGGCCACTGCACTCCAGTCTGGGCAAGAGTGAGACTCCAACTCAAAAAAATGAAATAAAATAAAATAAGCCCAGGCATGTTGGCTCAATCCTGTAATCCTAACACTTTGGAAGGCGAAGGTGAGAGGATTGCCTGAGTCCAGGAGTTAGAGACCAGCTTGGGCAACTTGGCAAGATCTCATCTCTACAATAAACCAAAAAATTAGCTAGATGTGGTAGTGCATGCCTGTAGTTCCAACTACTTGGAAGCCTGAGACGGAAGGATCGCCGGAGCCCAGCAGATTGAGGCTGCAGTGGCCGTGAGCGTGCCACTGCACTCCTGCCTGAACGACAGAGTGAGATTCCAACTCAAAAATAAAAAAAGCAGAGTAGGACGGGTGTGGCGGCTCAGACCTGTAATTCCAGCACTTTTGGAAGCAGAGGCAGGAGGATCAATCGAGCCGAGTAGCCCAAGAGCAGCCTGGGCAACATAGTGAGATCTCATCTCTACACAAAAATTTTAAAAGTAGCCAAGGCGTGGTGGTACACCCCGTAGTCCCATCTACTCAGGAGGCTGAGGTGGAAGGATGGCCTGAGCCCAGGAGGTCGAGGCTGCAGTGAGCTGTGATCGTGCCACTGTGCTCCAGCTTGGGTAACAGAGACTCTGACTCCAAAAAACAAACAAAAATAATAAAAATAAGCAGAAATCTCTGAACTAGCTGGGGGTGCAACTGACACAGTAGGTTCTTAAATGCTGAACGAATAGGATGCTATTTGTATGAGTAAAAGTACAACCGAGAGATTTTGTTGACTGTGCAGTTCTGCATTAATTACAGTAAGTACTTTGAAAACTTTCCATGTTTATTCACATAAAGTAGAAACAGCTACTATAAGAAACCACTTTCCCATCCTGCTTCATATTTTGATTTCTCCGGTTGGAAACAAAACTTCAAAACACAAGCAAACCTAAGTGACTCATGTATATGCCCTTAATCTCTCCTGATCCCATGTGGCCTCTAAAACATGGCTTGCTGCCCTTTCCTTGTCTTGCCCTCTCTGCAGAGGTGGTAGTCAACTATAAAAAGTCGGTTTGCTTTGATTTTTTCCACCCAGCAGGTCACAGAGGAAGCTGCCACTAAGCCTGACAGAGTTGGAACTCAAAAATGCAGAACGAGTTGATGTGAATGAGAGTAAAGGATTAATGAATAGCAGTTAAAGGCAGACCTTTCATGGATGGGCAATATCTCTGCATCTTGAATCTTTCTGCAACCATTTAAACAATTACTATAAGATATTTAAAATGTTTAAACAGTTAATATAAGAAAAATATGTGGCCAGGCGTGGTAGCTCAGGCCCGTAATCCCAACACTTTGGGAGGCTGAGGTGAGCAGACTGCCTAAACCCATCGTCCGAGAACAGCCTGGGCAACTTGGCGAGACCTCATCTCTACAATACAAATTAAAAAATTAGCTGGGCGTGGTAGCGTACACCTGTAGTTCTGGCGGAGGGATTGCCTGAGCCTAGCAAGTTGACACTGGGGTGGCTGTGAATGTGCCACTGTATTCCATCCTGGGCGACGGAGTGAGACTCTGAGTCAAAAAGAGAAAAACATCTAGTGAACAGTTCATGACAGTAAACTCAACTGTTTATGACCCAAGGTATCTTAAAAAGCAAACCTGGGAATGAATTCCCTTATGACCCAAGGCGTAGCTACAGTATGGCTTTCTTATTGGTGTTATTTCCCACTTGACTCTCTCGATATACTCTTCTGGAAACCAGGAAAGTGACGTCCGCAGCTCTGAAAATCAGCCGTCGACGTCTTGAGGCTGCTGCCGAGAGGCAGTCAGTCCTTCACGAGGAACTGGCTTCTGCTGAGCTTCCCTCTCTCCCTGAGGTAGGCAAGCAGGTGCCGCCGTCTCCTCCATGTGACCTTTACCCCGTACCTGTCCTCAGGGGTGTCTTCAGCCAGGACAGGTCCAGGTTCTGGGCTGCTGGGAGTACTGGTGTGAAGGGGGCCTCTCGGGGGGCTGTTTTCCTTCTGCTCTGGGGGAACGGGCTCTTCCTCCACAAAAGACGACTCTGGGGTCTGAATGTCAGGCGGGATGAACGCATAAGGGACACCCTGAAGCGTGTGCGTTGACTGGTCCCCACAGCTTTGGGGACTGAGCACAGGAACTAAGGGTCTTCTGGAAGTGGCCTTTCCGGACCGACTGGGGCACTCGCTGATGAAGGGGGTTCCCCGTGTCTCTGAGCTGGAAGACTGTGGACTCTCAAAAGTCAGATGTGGGAACTTGGAGGTGTGAGATTTTCGACTCGACTGTCTCGCCTGGCCATGGCGATGTTTCCGGCAGGCCGGGAGGCAGCTTTCTGCTGTTGTATCAAACTCAGGGGATACCTGAGGATTAAAGAAAAAAGGTGAGGTGGCAACTACCAAGTACTCACTCCAGAAAGGAAACTGTATTCAATGACTAGACTCCTAAATGGGGATCCACTATAGTAATGGACACCAAACCAAAATGGCTGCTGACAGGATCGTAACAGAGGCTCTGAGCATGTGATTCCCTCTCTCTGGTCTTAAGCTTCCTCCTGTCTAGGAAAGGGGACAGTGCCTCTTTCACATCATCATGCCACATGGATGGAGCTGACTTAACTGCCTTTTTATTTTGGAGCCGGAGTCTCACTCTGTTGCCCAGGCTGGAGTGCAGTGCTCACAGCCTCGACCTGCTGGGCTCAGGCGATCCTTCCGCCTCAGCCTTCTGAGTAGCTGAAACTACAGGCATATGCCACCACACCCAGCTAATTTTTTGATTTATTGTAGAGACAAAGTCTCACCAAATTGCCCAGACTGGTCTTGAACTCCTGGATTCAGGCAATCCTCTCACCTTAGCCTCCCAAAGTGCTGGGATTACAGGCTTGAGTCACCACACCAGGCAACTATCTTTTTTTTTTTTTTTTTGAGTTGGAGCCTCACTCTGTCACCCAAGCTGGAGTATAGTGGCACACTCACAGTTACCCCAGCATTGACCTGCTGGGCTCCAGTGATCCTTCTGCCTCAGCCTTCTAAGTAGCCAGAACTACAGGTGTGTGCTACCACGCCTGGCTAATTTTTGCCTGGACTGATCTGGAACCCTCGGGCTCAGGCAATCCATTAGCCTCAGCCTCCCAAAGTGCTGAGCCACCGAGCCCGGCCCCCACCCCTTTTTAAAATTTTGAGTCAGGGTTTTACTCTATTGCCCAGACTGGAGTGCAGAGGCACAATCATGGCTCAACACAACCTCCAACTCCTGGGATCAAGTGATCCTCCTGCATCAGCCTCCTGAGTAGCTGAGACTACAGGCATGTACCACCACACCTGGCTAATCTTTTTTTTTTTTTTTGGTAGAGATAAGATCTCGCTATGTTGCCAAGGCTGGTCTCAAACTCCTGGGCTCTAGAAATCCTCCAGCCTTGACCTCCCAGAGTCTTGGGATTTCAGGCACGAGCCCCTACACCAGGCCTTGTCTGTCTTTAACTTTCATGAGGGAAGGGATCGGCAGTCTTGTTCACCATTCATCCTTAGCAGAACGCTGACAAAGAAGGCCCTGAGTAAATAGTGAACAGCTGATTCCGAGAACAGGGCGTAAAATCATATACAAAAAGCAACTAGCAGAGGGCCTGGCATGTCACGAGCAGTCAATAAACGTTCATTTCTATTCTCATCCACCGGCGTCTTATGTTTCTTCCACAAAGTGCCATGGTTCTTTCCAGCGGTCCTAAACAAGCCATATTTATTCAGCACTCAAGCAGAGCTTATTTCTCTGTCTGGCCCTTTCACTTTATTACTTCCCTGTTGTATAGTAGCTATGTTCTCTTCCCAGGGCTTTTAAACTGTCTAAATAGGACATATGCCATTCCTATGGTTATTTTTGTATGTTTTTTAAGGCAAAGTCTCACTCTGCCCAAGCGCGATCCTCCTGCGTCAGTCTCCTGCATAGCTGGGATTACAGGCACAGGCCACTGCACTCAGCTCCTACCCTTAATTTTTTTTTTTCATAGAGATGGGGGGAGGGTCTTCCTATGTTGCCCAGGCTGTTCTTGAACTCCTAAGCTAAGCAATTCTCCTGCCTCAGCTTTCCAAAGTGCTGGAATTACAGGCATTAACCTGTAATTGCTTTTCAAGGTTGAGCTTATTAAACAGTACACAGAGTACTTAGCTATATACGCCACCCTTCACATGAAGTTTATTTCATGTTTTATTTGTTCTGCCACGGATCTGGCTTTCCCATCCAGCTACTGAATGAGAGTTTTACGCTGAACTCTTTCCGAGGAATCTAACCCGTTCCTCAGTCGGAACTGAGAAAAGAAGATACATCGGGGAAGATGGCTAACCACAGCCAGGAGGGCATGACCTCCTCGCCCCTGGCCCCACGAATCTTCTTACTCTTTGGAGGCCTGGTCCAAGGGCCAGAAGAGTCAGCATTCTGGAAAGCCCGACAGAGTAAAAGTCACCGTAAGAAGCCCATGGGCCTACCCAGGAGGTGAGGGTGCTGTGGTCCATGGGCTTGCTGGGCACCTGGCGGGTGTGCGTGACCGGACGCTGTGGAGATGCACAGTGGCCTCTGGCACTCTCCAGTGGTGGCTGGTGGAATAGCAGCGGGGCTTTCTGGGATCGCTGGTGGCGTTTTTTCCTGGGAGGCATCGAGGGGTGAATGAAGTGGTTCGCAGCCACATGATGCTGTTTGCTTTTGGGCTGGGGGACAGGCTGCAATTCCAAGCCAGGCCTGCAGAGAGAAAACACAAGCCGGAAGAGAGAATTCAGATGGTTCCCCAGCTCTTCCCGACCCCCAGTCAGCCGAGGCTACCACACACCGCCCACCTCAATCAAGGTTGTGGTAGCACAGTTTCCTGTGCCTCCACCTCCAGGCAGGAACGCAGTGTTCACGTTTGTAACACTCATTCAGGGAACGCTTATTGGGGGTGTGTTTGGTGCCATGCTGGGTGCTGGGGACTTAGAGCCCAAGAGTCATTTATTTATTTATTTATTTATTTATTTATTTAGAGTCAGAGTCTCACTCCATCGCCCAGACTGGAGTGCAGTGGCCGGGAGCGGCCTCGGCCTGCTGGGCCCTGGCGATCCTTCCGCCTCAGCCTTCCAAGTAGCCGGAACTACAGGCGTGAGCTACCATGCCCGGCTGGTTTTTGATTTATTGTAGAGAGGAGGTCTCACCAAGTTGCCCAGGCGGGTCTCGAACCTGCGGACTCAGGCAATCCACTCACCTCACCCTCCCAAAGCGCTGGGATTACAGGCTGAGCTCCGAGCCTGTCTTTAATTGTTTTATTTATTGTAGAGATGAGGTCTCACCAAGTTGCCCAGGCAGGTCTCGAACCCACAGGCTCAGGCAATTCACTCACTTTGGCCTCCAAAGCGCGGGATTACAGGCTGAGCCACCGAGCCCAGGAGTCATTTATTTAACAGTCACTTATTGGGCATCAAACACTCGTGGTGAGACAGAGGTCCTGTCTCCAGGAGCTGAGAGTCCAGCAGAGGGAGACAGACGTTGATGATACAACGCACTTCTGTTCACTCTAGAGAGGCAGATGCCTGACTAGGTAGGGAAAGACTGGGAGAAACTACACAGCGAGGAGGGCCCTCCAGCCTGAGAAACAGCACGCGCAAAGCAGAGGCATGAAGGAGGACCTTGAAGTCTGGGAATGACAAAGTCAGCAGAGCTGGACACAGGTATGAAAAGATGGACAGCAAGAGCCAAGCATGGACATTGTGTCAGGGAGCTCAGAAAACTCAGGAAACGTCATATAAATTTGGACTTTAGCCTGAGTAGTCAGTGAAGATTTTCTTTTTTTGAATTGGAGTCTCACTCTGTCGCCCAGGCTGGAGGGCAGTAGCACATTCACAGCCACCACAGCCTCGACCTGCTGGGTCAGGCAATCCTTTCGCCTCAGTCTTCCAAGTAGCCGGAACTATAGGCGCACACCACCACGCCCAGCAAATTTTTTGATTTACTGTAGAGACGAGGTCTCGCCAAGTTGCCCAGGCTGGTCTCAAACCCCTGGGCTCAGGCA